GCAGATAGCCCTCGTGTAGCTTTGCGCGAAATTGAAAAAAAAAACAAAAACAAAAAAACTTCTTCTAGCACATAAAGACAGACAAGATATGATTCTTTTTCCATATATATTGTCCCCTCCTCCAGTGGCACAGCTGTATTATGCGTACTTAAAACGCTAGAAACTGGGTTTCGATACCCGTGGTTAGCAGAGCACAGATAGCTCATTGTGTAGCTTTGTGCTTAACTACAAACAATGCATATTCATTTATTTATTATTGTAAAGCTGAAAGAAAATAATTTAATTTCCTCACTGAAAAATAAAAAGTATTTCTATAAAACGTTTTATAATTGGTTCAGGGAACTCAGGAAAGATCGATAAGAAAAAGTCGTAGTCGTAACTTTAATTGAAAGAACATATAGTGTTTTAGATACGTACTGGCTTTTATAATTCAACTTATGTCTTATTAACAACATCCAAATATAGTATAACATCTATTTCACTACTTGCCCAAATAGGTATGACTAAAGCATAGCCTTCTAGTATTATCCAGAGAGCGTGGGGTAGAGAATTTTAACAACTAAATATCCTAGGTTCACATTTTCTCTTCAGGAAAAGTAATTTAACCTGCCATCAGTCACATATGTTAACGAAATCAACCAGTTCCTATTGCCATGTTCACGAGCATCAACTGTGTATCAAAGAAATATAGTTGTATATCATATACGATACTCAGGTGCTTTAGAATTATATCCTATGAATCACGTGTGTTGCACAGGACGGGGATAGGGTTCAAATGTAAAGGAAAACCAAGGACAGGTGTGGAAAATGTATTGCATGTTAAGGGTGAATTGCATAAGTTAACCACCAAGTGTGATTTATTGTTAACTTCACAATTAGCTCAAAACATTTTTAATTCTGAAAAACAATCTTTCACTTTTTATATCAACTATAAAATTTTACATTTCCTTCTAAGAAATAATTACAATTTACTTTAAAAACACGAAGTTACATAAAAATACATCTGTGGCCTACCCACTGCGGGTATCGAAACCCGGGTTCTAGCGATATAGGATCGCAGACATACCGCTGTTCCACTGGGAGACACGAGAAAAAATGGGAGTAATTATTGACCAAGAATTATATTAAGTATAAATCTTATTTATTATTTAAATATCATTATGGTTTTGTAAGGGTCAAATCGAAACAACATGCTATTCAGGTTTTATGGAAAAATTTTATCGATAAAATGGAGTTATTAGTTGGAGAGTATTTCAGTAGTTGATATCGATAACAAATACTATGATGATTTAATAAATGGAAAAAATGTCCTTCAGAGCCCCGTTCTGGCTCACTGTTGTTTTTACTATATGTTAATGAGACACTGGTGTTTATTATTTGATATGAAGCAGGTTTCAGTCACAGATAATATTATAATTTTAGCTCATAATAAGAATTTAGGGGTTTTACTAGAAGTGGTTAATTTGTCATTAGACCGGCCAAATAATTGGTGAAAGTGAAAATGAGTTCCTTGTAAATCTTGAAATGACTAAATTTATACTTTTTTCACAATAAATATTAAAAAAATTCTAATAGTAAGGAAGTATATATATTGAGTACTTATGAAATAAATAATTATTAGTCGATAATTTTATGTTTATGATAAAATATAAATCAATTAATATATCTGCTCTTCTAACCCTTTTTTAAAAAATAACAAGAAATAATGCTGATTTACCACTTTTTAAAAAGTCAATACGTTGGGTAAAAATTCTGAATGCAATAACAAATAATAGCCCCCCAGTGGCACAATGGTACGTCCGTGGATTTACGACGCTAAAAAACCGGGTTTCGATACCGTGGTGGGCAGAGCACAGATAGCCAGATGTGTAGTTTTGTGTTTTACTTCAAATAATATTTGAGAAATAAACTCTAAAATTTTTTAAGGTTTATTTCAAAAGTTATCTATTAAATTTATGATTTACTGGGTCTTTTTTTATAGTTATTTCAAAAAATATTTAGTTATACTATTGTCAGTGTTGTGAAATATATTACATGATGTAACTTTTTATATACCTTTATTTTCTTTCTTTAGATATTAATAATTATTTTCTGTTAGTTTTTTGTTTGTTTTGTTTGAATTTACGCACAAAACTACATAATGGGATATCTATGCTCCGCCCACCACGGGCATCGAAACCCGGTTTCTAGTGTTGAAAGTCCGCAGACACACTGCTGTGCCATTGAGGGGAGGGGGGGGTTCCTGTTAGAAGCGATACCTTTTATTGTCATTCACTTTTACTTTTTGCCTTTTCATTTACTAGATTCATTGTAGTTAATATTTATATTTTAGAACATATTGCATTAACTAGTATGTGAATAAAACTAAGTTTAATTCAAATTAATTGTAAAACATTTTTTATGATAGTATTCTAATGACTGATAAAAAATGAGATAACAATACATATAAAAAGTAAATATGGCAATAATCTGCCTTTCCTATATACTCAGGGTAGTTCAAACCAACTAAAATGTCAAAAAAATGACCCACTAATTGATAAGACAATCGAGAAAGCGAGATACATAAACAAGCAAACAATTTGCTTTGTAGAGGTATATCTGGACTCCTGTACTCTCAGATACTTCAGAACAAAGGATGACCTCCTTCCAATAAAACATCAAAATACAATTTGAATCGATTGGAAGAGAAAATTTCAATTGAAACTTCTAAAGCAAGAACTGAACAACACTTGTGACTACAAAACGAAAGGAGACACAAGATTAAGTTACTGCAAAGTTACTACGCCCTTCATATTTACATGAAGAAACCCTACATTTTATTCTCGCTTGTGCCAACTAACGATCTATCCATCATGACGTAGTGAATAATATGTGAAGTGCCAAAACGCAGCCCTTTTTTAGTTTTCTTCTCTCCAGAAAAATAAAATTTTTACATTAAAGGACGACGTGTCACTCTAAAACGTTTAAACAATTCGGTAATTCCAACTGGATAATAAACGGATTTTGGGCTTTTAAAACGATTGTCTTCAATAATCAGATAAGTGAAAACTAGTTGAGCTAAAGCAGGTATGCATTTCTGCTGGTCATACTTTTTCATTTCTACACAAGATTTCTTACGATTAATGACAATGTGTCACCGTTGAAAATTCCTATTGTACAAGTTGCATATGTTAGTGATACAAGCTGCATAGGTGAACGATTAAAATGCAATACTTATCTGATCATAACTACACCTATCTCTAGAAGTCTCTTCATTAACAAGTATATATATAAGTAATGATATTTTTTGTTGTAAAAATTAAGTATGATGTAATTATGGCAATGCCAAAAA